ATAGAATATCATTTAATTTTCAGAATATGAAACAAATAACCCAAAATTGAAACAAACACACCCGACTTTAAACAATTATGCATGCATTATATTATAACATAATCGAAAATACAATATGAGGTGTACCATTGATTCCCAACTTTTGCCTTAGATTATCTGTTTCAAAATGGACAAGTAGAGATTGAGGCCCGGATATCCAAAACGGTATCCAGGGGATCTGCATTTCTTTGGCCATCCCGGCGGCGAACCAAAGAAAAGCTTCAGTGACTAAGCAGGAAATCTCCAATCCCGTCTCGGCCACAGCTGTTTGAATAGCCTTCTGAAAATTCCCAGGAGTTGCCTTTAGAAAGAACCCCACTTCTTCTTTTGGAAGCCCCTCACCTTTACGGACGTAATCTTCCGGTAAACCTGAGTCGACATTGAAGGGTTTTATCTTGTCAAACTCATCATCATTCGAAAAATACGAGGCATTAACTTGAGCGGTGCTGAAGAAAGAGAACTTCACGTCGGGAGCGGCCGCTGATAGCTTTCGAATGAGGGAAAGAAGAGGAGGGACATGAGATGTGAACGGAAATGTCAGTACAGCTATGTGTTTCTGGCTTCTTTTTGCTTCAGCCATGGTTGGAATTTTCCGGTAGCTGCTTGCATATCAGGTGGGGCGTTTATATAAATTTGAATGAGACGAGTTCGGCGGAGTCATTCAATATGGACAGTGATTTATATTTATTGATTAGTGGGTAGGAAAGGTAGTTGAAGGCAGATGATAAAGTTTACTTACGAAGAAAGAATTTGGGCAAGATATAAAGATATTGACTTATTCTATGATTGAAATATTTTCCTTTTTATGTTTTTAAAGATGAATTCCAAAAATGATAGTAAAAAATTCGACGTTGTGTTCAAAATATAAAATGTCTTGATCATCTTTTTCTGAAAATGGCAATGGCCAGCCCAACGCAATCAATGCGTTGGTGCATGGTTCATGGCCAGCCCTCATGCAATGAATGCCTTGGGCCATATCACAATCTAATATAGATGGCATCCGTCTCTATCGCGTTAGGGATAAAGTGCCAAGAAAATGGAGATTTAGCTTTAATTTTGTTTGGGCGAGGGACATGGTCCACATGGATGGATGACTTCGCCGGTTTGTTGTTCTCGAAATTTATAATTTTTTAAATTCTTTTTATAAAAAGTTATTCAAAAATAAGTTAGAACAAATAGGCAAATTGTTTCCATATGCACTTAGTGCTTGAAATTTTAAATTATTCAATTGGCTACTTATAATGTTGCAACTTTCACTGGTGAGGCCACCATTTCCACCACTCATTTATGTTCTACAGTGGAGAACAAAAAGAGGACCACAGTAAAATAAAATTAATCATATCCACTGTGATTTTCTTTTCCTCTTGTTTTCGATGCCGAGGCTGGAGAGATTGTAAATCAATTGGGTGCGAGTTAAAATATGTTAGGGTTTTCAATCCACTCGCGGTGGATGAGAGGGTGAAAATTGTAAACATGATTTGAAAAAGCTCAACCATATCAGTTAAATTCAATTAATTGACCTGATCGTTCTTTATCTGAATTAAAGATAAACCTACGTGGGATGTTGAGCATCACTTATTTATTTTGTGGTTACAAATCAATCTCCGTGTTCTTGCCGGGTATGGTGAGTTTGGTCTCTCTGTATAATTTCCTTCATAAATATTCGCTTTTCACAAGAATAAATTTGAACAAAGAGAGAGCATGCATGCAGTTCGTCTCTGGAGTCCAATCTGAATTCTGGGTCGAAAGGAACCATGCAAAGGTAAAATTTTGTGAACTTTTGAATCTTAATTTATTTATTGATGTGGGTTTCAATTTATAGTTCTTTAAGCTAGTTGGATTAATTGTACAAATAATTAATTTCTACAACGTGATATGTATTTTAAGACAGTAGAATTATAACTACAGTATCATAAACCAATGTTTACACATAACATACATATGGAAGTTTATAATTATCAATCATATTAATTATATATAAAAAATTAAACTATGTATTAAGACATTGACTTGTGAAATAATTACTGAAATACCTTGGTATAAGGAGTTCAATTTTGTATTCTCAAATTTGAAAATGTCTTCATATTGTAACAGAGGAAAGAATAAAAATGATGGAAAGCATTTTTTATTATGTTTTAGTGTTTATATATATGATTCTTTGTTTTTCCCATTTCAAACAACGAAAATTATTAGTAAACATGTATCATGTTATATATGATAAAATCAAAATAGGATGAAAAATCTCTTCTTTCTTCTGATTTTATCTTCTTATCCCTTCCTTCTAGTATAATATTAAGTATAGTCTTTACTACAAAGTGGATTATGATTGTAAGAATTAATATAAAAAATTAATTTAATAAAAATACGTTAAATGATAGTGAATGATATACGAAGGAATGAGATGACTTTGTATAAAGTTTTTATAAGTATAATACTATTCATTTTCCTATTATTCTCTCTCTCTCTCTCTCTCTCTCTCTCTCTCTCTCTCTCTCTCTCTATATATATATATATATATATATATATTTTGGCTATTTTCATCCCCTATCCTTTGCAGGAAGAGCTAAAATTCGGGTGCAAATAACCCCACCCTAACAGTATTTTATTTTATTTTTCATCTCCAACTTTTTTTGACGTTTTAGAAAAAAAAAAATGGGTTTAATAGGTCATACTAGATTGGATTAATTTCTTGAAGTTGAATTTGATTGTGTGTTAGACCGCACTGTACTGTAGAATATATAATACTATACTATGGTGTATTCTCATACTGACAAAGATTATATAGATCCATATATAAATCCAAATTTCTTTACTAGAATTATTTTACTTATATTGTATAGGCTAAAAATCGTACTGGGTCTTATCAAACCCAGCAACGAAATAAATATATTACGGTCTAGTGCTTTAGTCCAATTCTATTGAATAAACACTTAAATCTATCTCATGGATTGACCATCCTATAGGATGGCCCAATTTGTGAGAATAAACATTCTATGGGTCGACCAATTCTACGAGTTGTACCACACCATGAGTCAGCCCTCTCCACAAGCTAGGCTACTTTACAAGTTAGGCCTCTCTACGAGCAACGCCACCCTACAAACTGATCCAACTTACTCTTTGGATTACTCAATGAGTTGAACCTTTCTATAAGATTAAGCTAAAATGGATTTCAACCCATTAGCCCACTTTCGTCCCAAAATAGGAATCATAATTCTATCATCTCCCTAATTCATTCAAGATCAAATATCTTACATGAATTAGTACTCTTGAATCGATAAATGCAAAAAACAAGAGTTCCTTCCTAATTCGAACTCCCATAACAAGTAGGACTTAGAGTTCTATTAGGACTCCAACCTCCATGGTTCACTATATAAACAGGGGGTCAAGCCTTTCATTATTCATTCAGAAATCACTCATAGCTCTTGCACCTAAATTCTCGCTCTAAAGAATTATCGTCTTTCCCTATAAAGCTTAGTTCCGACTAACTTTACCATCCTCAGTCACTGCAAAGCTGTGCTCTGACAACTTTGTTTTAGTCTTGCATTAGCCACATTACGATAAACCATTTCCTATTGTGCTGACTTGAGCATCGGAGTACCTACGACAGGCACCACACCAGCGTCACCCGAGCCTTCACGTTCGTGCTTTCTCTTTATGTATATCTATCTGATTGTCAGTGGCTTGCTTCTCATAAGATTCATCATTTCCGAATCAACTGTAGATTTTACCATCTACAAATATATTTGTGATTTTCTTTTACATTATTAATTAATTACATATTTAAAAAAAAATAGTATATGTTAATTTAAATATTACATTGAATGTTTAGTTATTTAGTAAATCAGAATAGTCCACTCCTACATTTTCAGAAATGTTTTAAGTTTTTGGGTTATAAATGTATGTATGTATTAATGCTCCTTGCTTGACGTCTGAGGACTCAATTGGTTTTCAAACTTATGTACAACTCCTTAGGGCTCTTATTATTCAAGGCCCAGAACCTGTTTTATTAGTTTTCAAGGCCCAATAGTTCTTATCTCACGTTACCATTTTAGAACATACTAAAACCCAAAATTTAGCAGTTTTCAATTTTTAGAAAAACATATAACTAGAAGGTTGTAAGTTGATATTAGATGATGTTAATAAAACATTTAGTAACGCGAGATAAAATGATGTATATTGAAATATCACAACAGTCAATAAAGTTATATCACACTTCGATTTCTTTTCTGAGTTTTGCCTGGTAAAAGAATTTATGCTTTTGCCAGGGATGGCAGCACAACCCATTGGGGCCGACGGATTTTAATTGATTTGGGTTGCGTTCAGCCCACGCTATTAAGACTTTGGTTGAGTTTGGGGAAACCCATTAAATTTGCAATGTGCGTGGGTTGGGTTTGGGTAACCCAAACACTTACTAACTTATTTTTCGAAACCATTAGAAATCAATGAGATAGAACCATCGCTGGCTTACTTACACTGCCACCCACATCATCAGAGCTCTTCTGGGAAAAGTGTCGGTCACAATTGAGAGAGAGAGAGAGAGAGAGAGAGAGAGAGAGAGAGAACGAGGAGATTTGAGAGTACAAGAAAGGCAATTGGAAGAAAGTTTGAGTATGGTTAAGAGATGTTTTTAAGAGGATAAGAGAATCAATTAAAAGGTCATAATATATCCGAGAGATATCTTTAAGTAAATTTAATTGTATCATATTAAATTTTATTGAATTGTTAATATATTATTTATATATACAAAAGTTTAACTATTCTATAAGGAAACAAAATAATATAATTATAGTCCATTAGAAAATTAATTGATTGGGTAATTTTGAGTGAATGACGCAATCTTAGTTATTAATGGTTTAGCTACCAATCCATGCATCTTTATGTCAACCTTGATTGATAATTACAACGTTCAGCTGCAAAAGGCGGTCAAAGTTTTGGATAGCGATTAAACAAATCGGATTAAAAATTAAACAAACAATCACCTTTAAATTATAATTAAAGGTTGGATTACTTATTACCTTGAATCATAAATGATTCAAGAAATTACAACAATCACAAATTAAACTATGTCTTGGTGATAACCTCCATAACAGTTTTGAAATTTGCTGTGGAGCTCCCTTCAGATTCCACAGCTTGAAATGCAAGTTGTTTCAGTACAGCAATTTTTTCTCTCATAATCTTCCCTTGTTCACTACACAATATTACTTCCAAGGCTTTAATTGCTCCACCTTTTGTGAATTTTCTCCCCTCAACTCCCAAACCAATCCCCCAAACTGTCTCCAGAGTTCGTTCGTTCAGCTTCTGATCCCCGAAAAACGGCCGGCAAATCATCGGCACGCCGCCGATAATGCTCTCCAGTATAGAGTTCCATCCACCGTGTGTCACAAACACCCCAACTGAAGAATGCTCCAGGATTTTTAACTGGGGAGCCCATGGAACCACCTTGCCATAGGCGCTGGTCCTTTGTAAAAATCCTGGGGGCAATTGTTCCTTAGGATTTCCTCTAAATGACCAAAGAAATGGAGTCTTACTTGCCTCTAGCGCTTCAGCTAAAGCTGTAAGCTCGGGAGGCGGGAGCTGAATAATACTGCCGAAACTTATGTAGGCAACCGATAATTTTTCGCGCTTTTCCAGCCATTCCAGGCAGCCGTTTTTATCGGAATCCGGGGGCGGTGGTGAGGTTAATGTGAAGGGGCCAATGTTGAGAAAATTGGGTAGTCTTGACTTCATCAATGTGTTCACATCAGGAAGGTCTATTTCCTCAAAGGAATTTGAAGCCACAGCTGCTGCTTTCGGCAGGATTTGTCCCACTTTGTGAAGAAGAACTGGGACGCCCTCATCTAAAGGTCCTGAGATTGTTCCTTCCGGAAGATCCATTGCTCTTATTGAAGAAAATCCTGGAAAAAATACCAGGGTTTGCTCTCCAGGTCCTGCAATGTAAAATCACACATAATTAATCTTTAATCAATAGTTAAATAATAAAAACAATAAAACAAACTATCATGTTATCTGTATACCATTGATTCCGAGGCGTTCCCTCAAATTGTCTGTATCGAGATGGACGAGAAGGGAGCGACTTGCGGAGGTCCATAAGGGGATCCATGGGACTCGCCTTTTCTCGGCCATCTCAGCGGCGTACCAAATGAAAGCATCAGAGATCAAGCAGGAAAACCCCACTCCCGTTTCTGCAACTACAATCTCCATAGCTCTCTCAAAATTGCCTGGTGTTGCCTTCAAAAAGTACTCCACAGGCTCATTAGGATGACTCTTATTAAACACGTATCCGTCCGGTAACCCGGACTCAACATCATGAAATTTCACCCTCTCAAATTCTCCACCGTTCGAAAATAACAAGGCATTGGATTGAGCTGTGTTGAAGAAAGAAAACTTCACGTCCGAAGCAGCCTCGGATATCCTCCTGACGAAACTAAGAAGCGGAGCAGCATGAGTTCCAAAAGGAAACGCTAAAACCGCAATGTGTTTTCGGCTGGTTTTGGTTTCCGGCATTTTGTGTATTTTCTCGGCTAAGTTACTGTGAAAACAGAGTGAATGTTTATAAATAGTTTCACAAGATAATTACATTGCTTTGAAAATTCAAAGAATGTTATTCTGAGGAAGATTGGAGTAATTAAAAGGAGGGCAAGGTTGATGTGAGAAACGAATAATGGAAATTAAATTAAATAATGAATTGACCTGGTAATATTATTGGTGTCAATTATGATGAAGAAGCGAAGCTACGTGGACATGTTTAGCGTCGCCTATCTGTTTGCGGTTAAAAATGAGTCTCCTTGCTCTTGCAGTACGGGATTCGGTGCATCGAATACAGAGTTTACTGAGAGAATATCGACAAAAGATCATGGGGGAGTNGGGTTGGGTTTGGGTAACCCAAACACTTACTAACTTATTTTTCGAAACCATTAGAAATCAATGAGATAGAACCATCGCTGGCTTACTTACACTGCCACCCACATCATCAGAGCTCTTCTGGGAAAAGTGTCGGTCACAATTGAGAGAGAGAGAGAGAGAGAGAGAGAGAGAGAGAGAGAACGAGGAGATTTGAGAGTACAAGAAAGGCAATTGGAAGAAAGTTTGAGTATGGTTAAGAGATGTTTTTAAGAGGATAAGAGAATCAATTAAAAGGTCATAATATATCCGAGAGATATCTTTAAGTAAATTTAATTGTATCATATTAAATTTTATTGAATTGTTAATATATTATTTATATATACAAAAGTTTAACTATTCTATAAGGAAACAAAATAATATAATTATAGTCCATTAGAAAATTAATTGATTGGGTAATTTTGAGTGAATGACGCAATCTTAGTTATTAATGGTTTAGCTACCAATCCATGCATCTTTATGTCAACCTTGATTGATAATTACAACGTTCAGCTGCAAAAGGCGGTCAAAGTTTTGGATAGCGATTAAACAAATCGGATTAAAAATTAAACAAACAATCACCTTTAAATTATAATTAAAGGTTGGATTACTTATTACCTTGAATCATAAATGATTCAAGAAATTACAACAATCACAAATTAAACTATGTCTTGGTGATAACCTCCATAACAGTTTTGAAATTTGCTGTGGAGCTCCCTTCAGATTCCACAGCTTGAAATGCAAGTTGTTTCAGTACAGCAATTTTTTCTCTCATAATCTTCCCTTGTTCACTACACAATATTACTTCCAAGGCTTTAATTGCTCCACCTTTTGTGAATTTTCTCCCCTCAACTCCCAAACCAATCCCCCAAACTGTCTCCAGAGTTCGTTCGTTCAGCTTCTGATCCCCGAAAAACGGCCGGCAAATCATCGGCACGCCGCCGATAATGCTCTCCAGTATAGAGTTCCATCCACCGTGTGTCACAAACACCCCAACTGAAGAATGCTCCAGGATTTTTAACTGGGGAGCCCATGGAACCACCTTGCCATAGGCGCTGGTCCTTTGTAAAAATCCTGGGGGCAATTGTTCCTTAGGATTTCCTCTAAATGACCAAAGAAATGGAGTCTTACTTGCCTCTAGCGCTTCAGCTAAAGCTGTAAGCTCGGGAGGCGGGAGCTGAATAATACTGCCGAAACTTATGTAGGCAACCGATAATTTTTCGCGCTTTTCCAGCCATTCCAGGCAGCCGTTTTTATCGGAATCCGGGGGCGGTGGTGAGGTTAATGTGAAGGGGCCAATGTTGAGAAAATTGGGTAGTCTTGACTTCATCAATGTGTTCACATCAGGAAGGTCTATTTCCTCAAAGGAATTTGAAGCCACAGCTGCTGCTTTCGGCAGGATTTGTCCCATTTTGTGAAGAAGAACTGGGACGCCCTCATCTAAAGGTCCTGAGATTGTTCCTTCCGGAAGATCCATTGCTCTTATTGAAGAAAATCCTGGAAGAAATATCAGGGTTTGTTCTCCAGGTCCTGCAATGTAAAATCACACATAATTAATCTTTAATCAATAGTTAGACAATAAAAACAATAAAACAAACTATCATGCCATCTGTATACCATTGATTCCGAGGCGTTCCCTCAAATTGTCTGTATCGAGATGGACGAGAAGGGAGCGACTTGCGGAGGTCCATAAGGGGATCCATGGGACTCGCCTTTTCTCGGCCATCTCAGCGGCGAACCAAATGAAAGCATCAGAGATCAAGCACGAAAACTCCACTCCCGTTTCTGCAACTACAATCTCCATAGCTCTCTCAAAATTGCCTGGTGTTGCCTTCAAAAAGTACTCCACAGGCTCATTAGGATGACTCTTACTAAACACGTATCCGTCCGGTAAGCCGGACTCAACATCATGAAATTTCACCCTCTCAAATTCTCCACCGTTCGAAAACAACAAGGCATTGGATTGAGCTGTGTTGAAGAAAGAAAACTTCACGTCCGAAGCAGCCTCGGATATCCTCCTGACGAAACTAAGAAGAGGAGCAGCATGAGTTCCAAAAGGAAACGCTAAAACCGCAATGTGTTTTCGGCTGGTTTTGGTTTCCGGCATTTTGTGTATTTTCTCGGCTAAGTTACTGTGAAAACAGAGTGAATGTTTATAAATAGTTTCACAAGATAATTAAATTGCCTTGAAAATTCAAAGAATGTTATTCTGAGGAAGATTGGAGTATTTAAAAGGAGGGGAAGGTTGATGTGAGAAACCAATAATGGAAATTAAATTAAATAATGAATTGACCTGGTAATATTATTGGTGTCAATTATGATGAAGAAGCGAAGCTACGTGGACATGTTTAGCGTTGCTTATCTGTTTGCGGTTAAAAATTAGTCTCCATGCTCTTGCAGTACGGGATTCGGTGCACTGAATAGAGAGTTTACTGAGAGAATATCGACAAAAGATCATGGGGGGATTTCAAATTGAATAATGCTATCAGCACTAACCCAATCAAAACTAATCTAAGTATTAGCTGAGGTAACAAACCTCTCTTATTACCACATTAATTCCCCCAAAAATTTAAAAAAAAAATTTAAAATTTTAATTGTCTCAGTTAGTACTTAGGTTAGTATAATTTGGTTAATGTATATAGCTTTTCTCGTTCAAATTAGTCTGGCTGAGATCATATTGTTGTCGCAATTGACATGAGACATTTTGAAAGGATTGTGTGGGAAGTTCAAAATTTAAAACCTAAAACAGCTCCAACGACAAAAAAAATTGAAAAGGAGAAAAGCGAATAAATGTTAGGCTTTATATATGGATAATACTACGTATATAACATTTTCATATAACATTTCTCATACAACATTATAAGGCAAATGATGATTTTTGAAAGTTTAATTTTAATTTAAAATCAACCAATTATATTTTGCCACCTGCAATATTTTTATATAACATTTCTCATACAACATTATACGAGAAAAGATGATTGGGTAAAAGTTTAATTTTAATTTAAAATCAACCAATTATATTTTACCACATAATGTTGTATGAAAAATATTGTATAAAAATCGGTAAAATTAGAAGGTTGTCATTTGGTGGTTATTTGAGTGTAAGGGTTAGGAGAGTTGGTCAATTATATAAACCCCCAATTTTTGGCTAAATTAATTAAGAGCAAACGACAAGTTCCCACCCAAGGTAAAGCGAAATGACAAGTTCTCACCTCTTGTTTCATAAATTTTAGTTTCCCACCCTTAAAATAACACGTTAAAAAGTTGTAGGTCTGACTCACATGTACAAGATGCTATTACTAAACTGCCTTTAATAAATAAATTAATAAAAAAATTTAACCCCAAATTAGGACAATTAAGAAATAACCCCACATCTCACATTTCTCTCCACCGCCTCCCTGCCTTCACCTCTACCACCGCAGGCCAGGAGATCCCACCAGAGAACTCCGAGTCAGGAGCCGATCTCGGCTGATATCGCCTAGCCATGAGGTTGTGGAGGTTCAGAATCACGGTCTAGGTCAAGATTTGCTGGTTGGGGCAAAATATCGAACAGTTGGTGGACTTGTTTCAAAGGTAGGCGGATTAGTGGCTAGCGGCAGGGAAATTGGTACAATCAATCCGCAACAACAAAGACTCCAAAGACAATCAAAATCCTTCCAAAACAACTCCAAAAGAAACTCCAATTGGCTCTCAATTGTGATTGTCTAACACAACAACCAAAAGGGTGATGGATGGCGTTCAGCGAATGACCAGACGCCGGGATGTTAGGGTTTTTTTAAGGGGGTGACAGGCGAGGCTAGGGGTGGTGACGATGGGGTTTTGGCCGCTAGAATCAGTCGTGGTTCTGATTGGCAATTTGGCTGGTCCAGCAAGCAATTTCTCTCGTTCTGATACAAGCTAAAAGAGGCAGGCGCGCCAAAAAATTAAGTAAGATGCTCACCAAATTCCAGTTATTTCTTTGTTCTTATCCTTTTACATTGAATAAGTGCTCAAAGGAGAACCCTGAGCTGCCAAATAGGAAGTTTGGATCAATATCTGCTGGATCAAGTGAGAAACCCAAGTTCAAAATAGGAGAAGTGGCTACTGAGTTGTTAGCCGATAATAGCTCAATAAGATCAGATTCTAAACGCTGCATATGATGAACATCTCCAATGGCAAAATTAAGAAATAGTTTGAATCGGCAGTGCGGAAGAGACGAACGATGAAGAGAAACCACCCAAAAAATTGTTTTCATCAGCAAGGAGTCTTACTCTTGCATCCATATGAGGTTGAAGGAAAAGAAAAAAAGACATGCTGTCTTTTTATTTTACAAGCCATCATGATTGATGTTGAGTGCTTTTCTTTCCGCCCCATTTTTTCTTCTCTCCTTCGTTTTTTCTATGATGATGATTGATTTGGGTTGGAAGTGTTTGTAATTTATGGTGGTTTGTGGCAGTGGTGATGGTTATATCAGGTGGTTCTAGTGGCGGCCCATTTTCAATTTGGATCTGGGGTTTGAAATGACTCATTTAGCCTTTGACTGTTATATTACATAAGTTTCTGTTAGTTTAAGGTGGAAATTTGAGATTTATTCGCATTACCTTTGGTGGGAACATGTCGTTTGCTCGTTAATTAATAACCCTTGAATTAGTTTGATGTTCAAGGATTTTCTTGACTTCTAATGTTCAAATGGTCAAAGAGACGGTAGGTGTTGATACTTGATTTTGACACCAACAACTAGCATGTGCAAAGTGCTAAGCTGCTCTTAGAAGTTACACGTGAATGATTGTA